AGAAGAAACGATGCTCCGAGTGAAGGCATACGAAAGGAATAATTTTCTAGCTACCCCCAATAATATTATAGTGTACACATTTTCTCTGATGTTGGACTACAAGTCGCCTGGCTACCACATGTCCTACAAGCCGCCTGGCTACCACATCTCATATTTATGTGGGGTGTATTTATCATGTTTATATGTTACATAGTTTGTTTATATAATTTCGTAAAAAATATCATAGATGGATTAATGGTAATGTCTATATTAACGTAATATATGACATTTAATGTGCCCAAGAGATTATGTATTATTATTAATATGGCGTGATTTTAATGTGTACCTGCATGCCAGCACAGTGTGTAAGTATATTTAGGTACAGGTACACATAAGTATAATTATCAGAGTACATATATAATATGAAATACAGTAGACCGTTATTACACGGCAGTTACGTTCCTGAAAACACCGTTAGGTAAAACCGTGTTAGATGAACTGAAGAACTTATGGGAAAAATAGGGTTACATTCCTAAGAGCCCCAATAAAGCCAAACAACTTTTTTTTAGGCCTCCACATCTTACAAAAATAAAAGTGAATATGTAATTATATTTCACTGTTGTGATCCATTATGTTGTTTTTACTGCTTAAGACTACAAATGTAACAGAAATAATCGTATTTCTTACCTTAAATTGTGGGTGCTGGTGTTTGTGGATGATTGTGAAGAGAGTGGAGAGTTATGCTGTGGCCCTACTGGTTTGAGATGGATGGTAGAGGTTCTGGTACAGAAGTTGATGGTTGTACTGAGAGTGTCTATCATTCAATCAAATCATTCAGTAAGTCAGCCAAGTCATTCGGTAGGTCAGTCAAGTTGTTCAGTAAGTCATTCATTCAGTAAGTCAGTCAAGTGATTCAGTAAGTCAGTCAAGTGATTCAGTAAGTCAGTCATTCAGTAAGTAATTCATCCAGTCACACAAACTTATGATTACCTCTTTTTTGTGTGTACAAAGTAACACTTCATTATGGCCACAGGATGTCTCATCTAATATCTTTGTTTCCTTCGTTAATTCTAAGACTTAAATGCTTACACCTTTTCTTGCCACCTTGAGCAACACTGGTATGCCTACTGGGTGTCATGATTGCTTGGCAGATACAAGATATAGCAATTAAAATATCAAAACACAATTCACAATCACAAGTTTGTAGCAGAGAAGTTGGACTGGACACGTATGAAGTACGAATGCTAGGATGGTGGGGTCGTGTCAGGGGGGTGACTGGGGATGGCAGGAGGTCTCCCCTGCTGATTCACAACAAAGCATGCGCTTGAGGAAAAGAGAAATTTTTTTTTCCTTCCTGCAAACTGAACCGTGTTAACCCCTTCAGGGTCCAAGGCCAAAATCTGAAGTGGTGCCCCAGTGTCCAAGAATTTTCCAAAAAAAAATTTGTTATTTTTTCTTATGAAATGGTAGAGAATCTTTTTGCGAAGGTAATAAAACAAAAAGTACGAAATTTGATGGAAAATCGACGAAATTATGCTCTCGCGAATTTTGATGTGTCACCGATATTTACGAATTGGCGATTTTGCCAACTTTGACTCCCATTTTAGGCCAATTACATCATTCCAGTCGACCAAATTCTTGGCTATTTGACTAGTATTACTTCTATCGATTGAGCACAAGAAATCGCCAAGTCAACTGTTTCAACTACAAAATAAAGTGATGGAAAATTGGTAATTTGGCCAATTTAACACAAAGTTCAAAATATTTCAATTTCAAAATAGCGTCCAGAATAAACAATGTAGGCATTCCTGGCACTAAACTAACATTTCCTCGGTTCATTAGTTATGTTTTGAGGCTTTACAAATAAATCCCATTTTGATTTTTTATTCACATAATGAATTTTTATTCACACCAAAAAATAGAAGATTTACTGTTATGCAATATTGTAATAATTGTATAAATATCATCACCACATTTGTGAATGTATATTAGACCCACCAGCTGGCGTGTATTAGGTCATTTGTTTACTCTTGAACATCGGCAAAAATTTAACATTTCCGCTACTTTGAGCTCAGTTTCAAGCCATTTCCAGAGCTAAAACCAATCAAAATCATCTCTATTTCTGTAATATCCATTCTATCAAATGAGACCAAGAAATTTCAAATACAACTATAAAAAACATACGAAAAAACACTGCAAAGTTGCTGTTTTAATCGAAAATCGTGGTTTCAGTTTTTTTTCTCTCATTATACACAGTGTGCTGCAGGATTTGTTTTATGGTGCACACATACCACATAGATGTATTCTCTCATATCTAGGCCCAAGTGTACCACTCACAGTTTATCAGAGTGAGCTGAGTTCATGACGTAGATCTACGGTTTGGACCCTGAACGTAAAGCCGTAGATCTACGGGACGGACCCTGAAAGGGTTAAATTCATCATATGACGTGTTACATAAAATTGTGCCGCAATTCTTCAATTGTGCCAAATAAACTCGTGCTAATTGATGGTCTACTGTAACTTTAAAACACTTGAAATTCTGGAAAGTTTCCAGACATAGCAGAGAGATGTGCTCACAGAGAATGTAAACAAACTGGTTGGGGCATGCCTTAATAGAAAGACCGGGAGCTGTATTGGAAGTTTTGGTCATAATTTGAAATCACCGTATTAGCTGAACGCCGTAAGGCAAAGTGCCATAAAGTGGGGACCTACTGCATGTATTTTTGTATTTATGTATATTTTATAACCCCTTCTCCTGTATACATTACTAAAATTAAAAAGAGAAACTTTTTTTTCTTTTTGGACCACCCTGCTTTGGTGGGATACTACCAGTGTGTTGAAACAAGATGATGCATGCATGTATGTATGTATAATGTATATATGTATGTATGCATGCATGTATATACAGTGGTCCCTCAATAATCGTTCAGCCTGAAAGTCGTCCATTTCGGAAATAGTCCCATTATTTCGTCTAAACTTTGGCTCGCAAATGGTCCAGTTAACTCGCTAATTGTCCTTTGTCCGGGACGCGTACTCACGCTCTGAGCCGCCTGGGCCTGCCTTCCCAGCCAGTGTGCCATTGTTTACCAGTGAGCGACGGTCCCCTTACATGCTCCTACAAAATATTTCATAATATTCCATTGATTTTAGTGCTTGCAAGTGGTAAATAAGCTACCATGGTTCCAAAGAAAGCTTCTAGTGCCAGCCCTTTGGTAAAGAGTTTGAGAAACATATAATTTATGAAAAAGTTTGTAGAAAAATACAAAGGTGGTGGTGGTAGAGTGGAAGCAGTTGTGATAGTGGTTGATGGTGGTAGAAGGTAGTAGTGATGGTGATAACAGTTGTAATAGTGGTAGAAGGTCATAGTGATGGTGGTAGAGGGTTCCTTCTTTAGTGATTCAGCGATTCTACCAACTCCTCCAATGTTGTTGGAGTTATATAGGGCTACAGAAAACACCACCGCCTCAGCTGCTGCTTCACCCCCATTATGGACGGCTTACTCTCAGTGGCCCTTATATACCCAACAACAACACAACACACCTCTCGTGACATAAGTAATGACTTATTTTATTCATTCTAGAGTATATTCCATGTTTCTATGTTATTAATATTGTTTATTATGTCATATTAGTTGAATTGTGATAGATAAATAAGCCGTAGAGTTGATATTAGTGTCATGTTCTCCAACAATAAACTTGCCATCCCTCCCTCACACAAACAAGTCTTCAATAAGAACATAAGAAAGGAGGAACACTGCAGTAGGCCTGTTGGCCCATACTAGGCAGGTCCTTTACAATCCTTCCCACTAAGAACATAATGGAAGAACACTGCAGGTCTACTGGCCCATACAAGGCAGGTCCTTATCAAAATGACCTCTACCCAAAGCTACCCAAGAATTTATTCCCGTACCCAATGACGCAAATCAAACTCAGCTCCTCCCACTCATATATTTGTCCAATCTCTTCTTAAAGCTACCCAAGGTCCTAGCCTCGATCACCCTACTGGTAAGTGTGATGTTAAATAAGAACTTAAAGTATGAACACTGCAACAGGCCTGCTGGCCCATACTAGTCCAGTCCTTCACAATCCAACCCACTAACAGAACAAATGCTACCCAAGCAATAACCTCAGGTGCAAGTCCGACTCAAATCCAACCCCTCTCACTCGTGTATTTATCCAACCTAAATTTGAAACTACCCAATGTTTTAGCTTCGATCACCCTACTAGGCAGACCGTTCCACTCATCAACTACCCCTATTACCAATGTTCATTTATACATTTTATTAGTGTCCTAGAGTCCTTACGGAGGGGGATTTCCCTTCCAAATAACCTCTCTTCCCTCTCTCCTCCTCCCTGTCTTCCATTCATCAACAACAGCCTTCAATAAAGGTAACTGTTATGTTGAATGTTCATTCTTTTGTGCATGTAAATCTATCTTTTAGGTAAAAAAAAAAATTGTTGTTGATACTTCTGGGTGTCTGGAACGAATTAATTGGATTTACATTATTTCTTATGGGGAAAATTGATTCGAAAATCGTCCATTTCGATAATAGTCCCACTTCCAGGAACGGATTAAGGACGATAATTGAGGGACCACTGTATATACATGTATATATATGCATGTTTGCATATATGTTCAAATGTATATATTTGTTCTCCATGGGGAAGTGGAACAGAATTCTTCCTCCGTAAGCCATGCGTGTTGTAAGAGGCAACTAAAATGCCGGGAGCAAGGGGCTAGTAACCCATTCTCCTTTATAAATTACTAAATTTAAAAAGAGAAACTTTCGTTTTTCTTTTTGGGCCACCCTGCCTCGGTGGGATACAGCCAGTGCGTTGAAAGAAAGTATATATTTGTTCAGATGAAGAAATTTTTTATGTAAATTTATTAGTTAACCTATAAAAAATACATTAACAACTAAAATAATAAAATATTTGATGCAGTTAAAAAATACACTGACTCTCCCAACTTCGTTTATCTGGTTTTCTTAACGGAACTAATCATTTTCAATGGGATCCTACCTGAAAAAGTAGACATGATTCTTAAACTGAAGCTTGAAGACGAATTCTTTCTGGATCTGGTCATCCTCTCCCGGTGTGGTGATGGTGTATCCCAGTAGTGGGAGAGATGCCAGAGGAAAGTCATCCTATAAAAAAAATTAAATTAAGCTGTGATAGGATGATTTAATATTAGGAACTGCCAATGCTAACTTTAAATTATCAGTGAAGATAAGTCTATATTACTGATTACTATGCCATGATTTTTTTTTTTTCAGGGATAGGGGTGCTGAACAGCTCACTGGTGAGAGAACCTGATTCTTAATGACAAGATCTTGGGTTTAATCTCCAGGCAATAAGAGATGTAGGTTCCTTATCAGTACACTACTTAAATTATGGTATTGTTAAGCAGCATCTATATATGGTGCACGGTGGGTGTGGGAGAGAAGAATGATTGATGGAATGATGAGGTAAAATGGCAGGTATGAGAAAAAATTCCTGTAAGAAACATTTTTACAATGTAAAAGAGATATAAGGAAGGCTAAGTATATGGAGAGGAAAAGAAAGTGGTTTACAAGAATAGTAAGAAAATGGAAAGAGGAACAAATGAGAGAATCGAACATATTTTATCAGCAGATTTTAATGAAAATTAGAAAGAGTTTTAAAGAGAGATAATTGAGGTGAAAATAAATGTACTTGGAAACTAAGTGAATTGTTACTAGGCAGGGTCCACTTAGGTCTCTAAAACGATAGTGGTTGTACTCTTGCCACCTACTTTAATTATGGAGATGGGTTACTTAAACAAAAGCCCTAATTTTGAGTAACAAAATTTGCTTTTTAATAAAAAATATATCAGATTGATATTGGGAACTGTAAGCTGAAATGTATTACACAGGATAATATCACTCACTTGGAAAGTTTTGTAAAAGAATAGGCAGAAATTGGTGAAAACAACCCACAGCTTCTGCCAACCCATGCTGTTTTTAAATTTACGTAGCAGGTACCCACTCAGCTGATTCTGCAAACAAAACATACATTTACAAAGAGAGAAACATAGTCTCTAAATATTTTTTAGAGAAATCCATGTCAAATAAAGATACTGTCACTTCATAAATCACTTGGTTGTATGTGTCCCCCTTGATCATGATAATTTTTTACCAAACTTTTAACAGAATTCTAATAAATAAGCCAGACACAAAACTTGCAATAGCTTTTCCATTATACATTGTGATAATTAAGTGCACTGTGGAATTTCAATATTTCATAAATTTACAGGGACAAAAATACAGTGAAAGTGGGTTTTAAATAGGCAAAATAAAAAAAAAAATGCTTCAGGAAACTCCAGAGTAATACTGGCAATGCAATACCAAATACTCCTTCATGTGCTGTATGTAACACCATAACACATTCAAGCATACAACACATTCAAGCATACAATAATATAACACATTTAAGCATACAATAATAAAACCTGTTTTAGAATACAATAATATAACATGTTCAAGTACAGAACTTCTCCATGGGGAAATGGAACAGAATTCTTCCTCCGTAAGCCATGTGTGTCATAAGAGGTGACTAAAAACTTTGTTTTTCTTTTTGGGCCACCCTGCCTTGGTGGGATATGGCCTTTGTGTTGAAAGAAAGAAGTACAGAACCGTAATGTTTTAAGATGGATTTCGGGTGTGCTATTTTCCTGTTGACTCTGACTTTGGTTTAACCAATGCATGTGTTACTTTTTTCTCCACTAAACATGACATTATTGGCCCCTCAAGCATAGATCATACAAAATAAAATATATGGACAATTCAGACATAAATTAAGAAATCAGATATGCAAATTACTGATCTCACAAAATTGCTGGGAGCCAGAGTCAGCAGATCTCTCCTTATCTTCCAGACACAGCCTTCCACACCCCTTTATACAAAATTTGGTATAGGTGAGGTGAGTTCATATACAGCAGGGCCCCACTTATACGGCAGGTTAGGTTCCAGGCTACCGCCGTAAGGCGGAAACTGCCGTAAAGTGGAACACCCTTTTTTTCCACTTATAAATGCATACAAACACTAGATAACAAGTTTACACTAATATATATTAAGTTAGCAATAGAGCCAGGCATCAGAAAACAATAAAAAAGTACAATACACACATAGTGCACTCATTACTTACCTTAAAATATTTATAGTCTTAATCTAGGGTGAGACAAGTAGTATTTATTGTAAGAAATCAAGTGTGGTATGTATGGTAGTCAGCCAGGCTACCATACCAGGCCACCCCACCCACACATACTATTCTATGATATTTAGGCATTCCAGAGCGATAAAATGTATACACAGTTCACTCATTACTTACCTTAAAATATAGGGTGAGATGAGTAGTATTTATTGTAAAAAATCAAGTGTGGTATGTATGGTAGTCAGCCGGGCTACCATACCAGGCCAACCCACCCACACATACTATTCTATGATATTTAAGCATCCCAGAGCAATAAAATGTATACACAGTTCACTCATTACTTACCTTAAAATATTTGTAGTCTTAATGTAGGGTCAGGAGTAAGTAAATGAGATAAAACGAATAAATGAGAGAGAGAAAGAACTAGTGCATGAGAGAGGACAGGCGCAGAGTTATGTAAACAAACCAGGCGAAGGTAAGTTTTGTAAACAAAGTGTACACGTCTGGTTTGTGTACAAGTTACATTGTGTACAGGTTGTCTCTACATTGATACGGTAGAATAAATAAAGAAGAACACTCCCATTCTCATGTAACATCATTTTGAGAAGAAATGATGCTCTGAGTGAAGGTAATGGAAATAAGTCACTGACTTTTTTGGGTTATCCTAGGTTCTCTACACATATGTATGATAATCTATGTAACTATTTGTGTATACCTGAATAAACTTATATACGAAAGGAATAATTTTCTACAGTTACCCACAGTAACACATTTTCTATGTTAGATTAGAGAAAATGTTATTCTTGCCATCACTTGTACAAGTTATCTGGCTTCCACATCTCATATTTATGTTTATTTATTCTATTGTGGGGTGTATTTATCATCTTTTTATGTTATGTATCGTGTTTATTATATAATTTTGAAAAAATATCATGGATGGATTAATGAAAATGTGTATATTAACGTAATATACGACATTTAATGAGACTCGGTGATTATTATTATTTCTAATATGGCGTCACCTGTGCAAGTCGTCTGCTACCACATCTCACATTTATGTTTGTTTATTCTACTGTGGGGTGTATTTATCTTATTTATGTTATGCATCGTGTTTATTATATAATTTTGAAAAAATATCATAGATGGATTAATGAAAATGTGTATATTAACGTAATATACGACATTTAAATGACTCGATGATTATCATCATTACTAATATGACGTCTGGAGACATAAGACACTCTTATTGATTTTTGTGTGTACCTGCATGCCAGCACAGTATGTAAGTTTATTTAAGTACAGGTATACATAAGTATAATTATCAGAGTATATATAAAATATGAAATAACTTTTAAAAACATTTGAAATTTTGGAGTTTCCAGACAAAATGGAGAGACTTAGTGCTTACTGAGCTCACGAAGAATGTAAACAAACAGGGTGGGGCGCGGTGACCGTATTAGAAAGTCAGGTGGGGGGAGCCGTATAGCGAGTTTTGGTCATAATTTGAAATGACCGTATTAGCGGAACACCGTAAAGTGAAACGCCGTAAAGCGGGGCCCTCCTGTATACTGGTACAATTTTTGACATGCTGATTCTGCTTCCCACATTTTTGTACAGTGAAACCTACATAAAAATAGTAGGGAGGAAAGGGGTACCTATGTTAGCGAAAATAGTTATATAGAAACTTTCGATGAAGTTGATTACATCGGTTAAGCAAAAATTGTTATGAGTTTTAATGAAGTGGATTATGCTCATTTTATCGTTGGAGTGTGAGACACAGATAAACACCAAATAAAGCAGACCCAGTCAGCTCCATTGATGGTACTGTTGGTAAATTATCAGAAAATACAAGTGTGATGTCAGTAGAGAGCAGGGACGGTGGTAGTGTGACCAGGGTGATCACTCGACCACTCATCAGCCAGTGTGTCAGAGGTACAGTACTGCTGTGAGTATCTCCCTGTCACTCGTGTTTGTGTGCAGGGGGAGGGGGAAGAAGTGAAGTGGAGCAGGATGGTAGCAGTGGCCAGGATGGTAGTGTGGCCATCTATCCCTACCTAATGGCAGTCCATTTTATCAAGGGTTTATTGTATTAATATTTCTTCTTTGCTTTGGCTGCATCAGATGCACATTTTTCTTTTCAATGAACTGGCCATATCCCACCAAGGAAGGGTGACCTAAAGAGAAAACTAAAGTTTCTCCCTTTTAAATTCAGTAATGTATACAGGAGAGGGAGTTACTAACCCCTCACTCCCAGCACTGTAGTCGCCTCCTCTAATAATAATAATAATAATAATAATAATAATAAATCATTATTTCTGAGTGGATAGGGGAGCAATGTGGCAGATGTTGCAAGTGTATGGAATAGGTTGTAAGTTTAACATATTTAGAGATGGGGTTGTAAAATAAGTAAATGCTAGGGTTTTGGGGAGAGGGGTGGGATTAAATTATAGGGAATCAATAACAAAATGGGAGTTGACATAGTTACTTTTTGCTGATGATACTGTGCTTTTGGGAGATTCTAAAGAAAAGTTGCAAAGGTTAGTGGATGAGTTTGGGTGGGTGTATAAAGGTAGAAAGTGAATAGAGACAAGATTAAGGTGATGAAGGTATCAAACGATTTAGATAAAGAAAAATTGGATATTACATTGGAGGAAGGGAGTATGGAAGAAGTGAATGTTTTCAGATAAGTATTTGGGAGTTGACTTGTCAGCAGATGGGTTTATGAAGGATGAGGTAAACCACAGAATTGATGAAGGAAAAAAGGTGAGTGGTTCATTGAGGTATCTGTAGAGACAAAGAACATTATCCATGGAGGCAAAGAAGGGAATATATGAGAATATGAGTTGTAAATGCTGCAGTGTGGAGGCAGTGGATATGTCGTGTCTAAGGGCAATGTATGGTGTAAATATTATGCAGAGAATTCATAGTGTGGAAATTAGGAAGTGTGGGGGGCTGAAGAGGGGCTGTTAGAGGTGGTTTGGTCATTTAAAGAGAATGGATTATTATTATTATTATAATCAAGGGGGAAGCGCTAAACCCGGAGGATTATACAGCGCCTGGGGGGGGGATGTGGAAGGCATTCAGGCTTAATTCGGGGAACTGGAGCACAGATCCAATTCCCTAAATCAAGAGCCCCTCACCAACATCAAGGAACCTTCCTTGAGGGGACTAAAGAGAATGGAACAAAGTAGAATGATTTGGAGATTGTATAAATCTGTCGGGGAAGGAAGGCAGAGTAGGGGTCATCGCCGAAAAGGCTGGAGGGAGGGCTTAAAAGAGGTTTTGTGGGCGAGGGGCTTAGACTTCCAGCAAACTTGCATGAGTGTGTTAGATAGGAGTGAGTGGAGACGAATGGTTTTCAGAACCTGACGTGCTGTTGGAGTGTGAGCAGGGTAATATTTTGTGAAGGGATTCAGGAAGACTGGTTAGCCAGACTTGAGTCCTCTGCAAAGACAGTGATTACATATGAGTGATGTTGAAAGTGTTGAATGATGATGAAAGTTTTTTTTTTTTTTTTTTTTTTTTTTCTTTTCTTTTTGGGTCACCCTGCCTCGGTGGGACGGCAAATGTGTTAAAAAAAAAAAAAAAATTATTTCTACATGTACAAAGTATACAGGCTTAGCTGACATCAATGACACATAGAAAGCCGTTTGTTATGAAAAGCATTTTGGGCAAATTAGGTCAATTTTGTCCTATGGGCAAGCGTCATAAACCCAGGATAACAGCCGTTTGTTATGAAAAGCATTTTGGGCAAATTAGGTCAATTTTGTCCTGGGATGTGGCCCACACCAGTCAACTAACACCCAGGTACCCATTTTTACTGATGGGTGAACATCAACAACTGGTGTAAGGAAACACACCCAATATTTCCATCCTTGTCGGGAATCGAACCCGGACCCTCAGTGTGTGAAGCAAAAGCTTTGCCACCAAAAAAGGCTCTTGCTTCAATGCATAGCTTATGGAGGAACAATTCTTTTCCACTTTCCCATGGAGATAAGAGGAAAGAAAGAACAAGAACTATTAACCCTTTCAGGGTTTCTGACGTACTAATATGGCTTACGCACCAGGGTTTTTAACGTACTAGTACACCTAAATTCTAGCGCCCTCAAATCTAGTGAGAGAAAGCTGGTAGGCCTACATATGAAAGAATGTGGTCAGTGTGCGCAGTATAAAAAAAAAAAAAAAAAAAAATCCTGCAGCACACAGTGCGTAATGAGTAAAAAAAAAAAACTTTGACAGTGTTTTTGGTTTAAAACAGCGACTTTGCACTGTATTTTCGTATGCTATTTACAGATGTATTCTAGTTTTCCTGGTCTCATTTTTTAGAATGGAAGACATTACAGAAACTGAGATGATTTTGATTGGTGTTACAATGAAAAGTACCTTGAAATTGAGCTCAAAGTAACAGAAATCTTCGATTTTTGCCAAAGTTCAAAAGTAAACAAATCATGCTATGTGTCCAATACACGTCAACTGGTGAGTCTAATATTCTTTCACAAGTGCGCTGATATTATTTATACCATTTCTACACTAATGCAGTAGTCTGCATAACAGTAAATCTTCTATTTTATGTGAGAATAAAAATTCAAAGAGGAAAGCAAAAGAATGTAAGAGGAGCCTGAGGACGTGACTAATGAACTGAGGAAATGTTATTTTAGTACCAGGAATGTCTTTCTTGTTTATTTCTGGACCCCATTTGGAAATTGGCATCTTTTGAAATTTGTGTGAAATTGGCAAAATTACTAAATTCTGACCACTTTATTGGATAGTTGAAATCGGTAAATGGGTGGTTTCTTGTACTCATTCGATAGGAAAAAATGGAGTTCTAGCGAAATAGCTATGATTTTTGTCGACTAATACACTGGAATTGGCTGAAAATAGGGCTCAAAGTGGGCAAAATCGCCGATGCGTAAACATTGGCAAGACCGCTAACTTCGCGAGAGCATAATTCCATAAGTTTTCCATCAAATTTCATACTTTTGGTGTCATTATGATCGGGAAAAGATTCTATCTTTTCGTGAGAATTTTTTTTTTTTTTTTTTTTTTTTTTTTTTTTTTTTTTTTTTGAAAATTTGTCGACCTGAGAACAAATCTGGGAAGAGGGCCTGTCGACCCTGAAAGGGTTAAGAAAAAAGAAGAAAACCCAGATGGGTGTGTAAATATATATGCATGTACATGCACTTGTAGTGTGACCTAAGTGCAAGTAGAAGTAGCAAGATATACCTGTTTATGAGACAGAAAAAAAGACATCAGCAATCCTGCCATCTTGTAAAACAATTACAGGTTTCTGCTTCATATTCCCCTCAAGGAAGGTTCCTTGATGTTGGTGAGGGGCTCTTGATTTAGGGAATTGGATCTGTGCTCCAGTTCCCCGAATTAAGCCTGAATGCCTTCCACATCCCCCCCCAGGCGCTGTATAATCCTCCGGGTTTAGCGCTTCCCCCTTGATTATAATAATAATAATCTGCTTCATATTCACTGGGCAGGTCAATGTATATATCCTTGGTATATGGTATGTCCATTTGGTATCGGTGTGGCGAGTTTCTCCATACAGCCTCTCCTCACTTAATGATGGAGTTCCATTCCTAAGACCACGTCGGTAAATGAATTCTTCGCTAATAGTGGGTTTGTGTTAACCATCTTTGACATTGTTTTAATGTCACCTTTGCATCATTTATAATATTTCTGATATAGTAATACCTCTAATTTCATGAGGCTCTATTTTCATGAATTTTGATTATCGGCAACTTTTTTTGTCAAAATATAGCCTCTATTTTCGTGACTTCTCTCTAAATTCGGCAGCCATCTGGTACATGTCCCAATGGCCCTGCCCACACAGCCTCCCACAGACGCATTGAAGAGTCAGTCTGGCATTGTTTCTCAGCAAATGAGCATCACCCCTCATGTACATAGAAACATTTTATAATAATTCATTCTTTTTTGTGCTTGCAACTGCTAAATAAGCCACCATGGGCCCAAAGAAAGACCCTAGTGCCAGCCCTATGGTAAAGGTGAGAAACACGATAGAATTAAAGAAAGAACACACCAGCCAGGGTACTTCCCCACACACTTGACAACCCTATGCCTGTTGTGAAATCTATTGTGGCTTTGGAGAAGTCCATGGGGTTGGATGTAAGTGGCCAGGATGTGGAAGAGTTGGTGGACAACCACCAACAGACAATAATCAGTTCTCCTCCTCCCCGTCTTCCATACACCAACAAGAGTCTTCAATAAAGGTAAGTGTGATGTTAAATGTTCATTTATACATTTTATTATTGCTTTATACTGATTTGTCATTCTTTTCTGTATGTAAATCTATATTTAATCTCTAAAAAATATACTTTTTGTTAATACTTTTGGGTGTTTGGAATGGATTAATGGAATTTACATCATTTCTTATGGGGAAAATGGCTTCAACTTTTGGCAGACTCTTTGGAATGGATTAATCATGAAATTAGAGGATCAACTGTATATTTTTATGTTTATACAGTAGTGTACAGTGGAACCTTGGTTTTCCTATGCCCTATTTTTGGGAATCTGGAATGGATTAATTGGATTTACATTATTTCTTATGGGAAATATTAACAAAAAATACATTTTATAGAGAATAACCATAGTTTTACATGCATACGAAAACCGAGGTTCCACTGTACAGTATATTGTAATAAACAGGCTAGAGGTAATCAGCTGTATGCATACTGGTCAGAGAGCCGTTGTAAATCCGAGGCATTGGTAAACGAGTAAGTCACTAAGTGAGGAGAGGCAGACTTGAGTTAAAAAAATGTTACTTTTATTTTTATTGTTGACATGTACTGAGGGTGTATAAATCTGGGTTGGAGGGAAGGAGGAGCATGGGTCATACTAAGAAAGGCTGGAGAGGGGAGGATGTGTAAAGGAGGTTTTGAGTGCTAGGGGCTTGCACATCCAACAGGATTGTGTGAGAGCATTAGATAGAAGTGAAGGCAAGTGGTTTTTATGACTTGACAAGCTGTCAGTGCAAGCAAGATAACATTTATGAAGGGAGTCAGAGAAACTGGTTAAACAGACTCGAGTCCTGGATATGAGAAATGTAGTACTTGCATTCTGAAAGAGGGATGGAGCTACTGTAGTTTGAAAGGTCACGTGAACTGTGATTTCAGCATGCTTCTGGAAGACTGTGATTGAATCAGTGACAATGAAAGAGTTTCCTCTTTTTTGGGTCGCTCTAGCTTAGTGCCAGATGGTCAGTATGCATAAAAAAAAAAAAATACCAATGTGTTGGTTTATCTTTGCTATATTCAACTCTGACCAGCTGGCTGGCACACATCAACCTTCTCCACACTTTTCAAATGCTTCAAGTAACAAGGTAAAGGCAAGATATACTGTACTAATTTTTACCCCAGTAGAATATTTAAAAAAAAAAGGTTGTTTGGCAAATTTGGTGATGTCTGGAACATAACTTTATTTTACCCTACGTTCTTCACTTTAAACATTTTTCATAAGGAGCAGATTTACAGGAATGTAATTTGTGACAAAAATAACAAACCTGAACAGCAAGTGAATAATCTTGTGAAGAAACACTTGTTGCTCGATGCCAACAAACATGGACAGTTGTGTTGGATCGCTGCTGGGGAGAAGTGCCCTTGTCTCCAATGCCCCTGGTGGGACTTAAAGAATCTTCCAGCACACTCATCTCACTGCGGTCTAAAACCTCATCTGAAGAGCCTGGAATAATGATATGTACTATTACTCTTTTATGTATAAAAGATCACTTCTGGGCAAGAATGCTAACAGTAACAGAGGTAACAATATCTAGAATTTCCAACAGCAAAATAACATCTTGGAAAGTTCTGTACAAATCACTACCATTTAATGTAAGATTAATTTAGTGCATAATGTATAGGTCATGCCAATACAAAGATTTAAAGGGATTGACTGTTTGCAATATAAATACTCACTACAGTACATTATAGCCTATTTCAGAACCATATAACCCACTTAACTGTCCAAATGTTGATCTTCATTATCACTGCTGGCACTGAATATACTGATTTTTTTTAAATAAAGAGGGCAATTTTTTATGTAAAATAAAACCAAAAAAAATTTAGGGTCAGTACTTACCAAGACACCAGGTGGGCATCTAGTGCAAAGTTGGCCGAGTTTAATTGTTTCTAACTACCTTTAGATGCCATCATAAACAAAGGGAGAAGTAATGAATAATTCATGCCGAGAATTGTAAACAAAAGTGTTGTGTTAAGGGGAGTGACTGGGCCATCACAGATTCATACACGGTTTCTCTGGTGCTGGATCTCCATAGCATATAAACATAGCATGTTTATATGCTATGGAAGAAAATATCATAGATGGATTAATGAAAATGTCTATACATATTAACGTAAAATAAGACATTTAATGTGCCCAGTTAGTATTATTACTATGGCGATAAGACTAGAGGGACACACTTAGTAATTTTAATGTGTACCTGCATGCCAGTAGTGTGTAAGTAGTACATACTATTTAGGTACAGGTACACATAACTATAATTATCAGAGTACATATAAAATATGCATTAACTTTAAAACACTTGAAATTTTGGAAAGTTTCCAGACATAATAGAGAGATGTGGTCATGGAGAATGTAAACAAACCAGGTGGGGTGTGCTGTATAAGAAAGACAGGGAGCCATAAAAAGAGTTTTGGTCATAATTTGAAATCACCGTATTAGCAGAACGCTGTAAAGCAGGGCCCTACTGTACTCAAACAGTCACCAGCACACTGACAAGTGAAGAGGTTCATCTGTCTTGGTCACATACTATGTTTTTAGAAGTATGTATATGAAACTCCTTGAAATATGGTGTCAGACAAGTGTCACTACACTGCTGAGGGTTCAGTCACTCATCACTTAATATTGCCGATCATGCACTGCTCCCAGTGAATCTTTGCATATGTATTTTTTATTTGCTCTGTTACATCTGTCTTTCTGTCTTCTACCTCTCTTTTTATGTCTTTGCTATCTGTCTGTCTTTCTGTCTGTGTCTTTCAGTCTGCCTGTCTTTCTGTCTCGGAGAGAGCCACTTATGAACCAACGAGTATTGCACAAACCATACCACAGGTGGGGACAGAACCCAAGATCAGAGGGTCTCAAAACTCCCGAACGTCACAATTGTGTCATTACGATTTCATGAGTCGGGTATTGCACACGCAGATTTATCACGTCTGATTCCTGAACAAGTGGAAATGCGTATTACCTGCCAGTCATGCTTATGCCTTATATCTATAAGCACAGTATGGCACAGGTACCATCCGACTTATGACCTGTGCGACATATGACCACTCGGCTTAGGACTCTGCATCTGGCAGCAGGGCTGCCAGATGCACAGTCAGATGTAGCAGACGTTTCACCCACACAAGTAGAGGTTGTAGTTATACATGTGGTGGAAAAGTCAGCTGGTACATGAGAAAGAAAGGTTACAAAAGGGTAGCATAAAAAATAGGTTGGGCAAATGTATATGGATGGATTTGAGAAGGCATGTTTCAGTGTCCCTTCTCTATTACATAAGAATATAAGAAAGGAGGAACACTGTAACAGGCCTGTTGGCCCAAACTGGGCATGCCTTCTTATTTTTTATGCTACCCAAGCCTTTATGTAGTAGCAATTATGTGATGTCGAAAAAGACACTCATGTCTATATCTCTGTCTGTCTATATCTCTGTCTCTCTTTCTCACAGGTACAGTTATGATACAGTGTAAATTACTGAGGATAACCCAAAAATTTCAGGCAAAGTGCTATACAGTGCTTGTAGATATAAGGCATAATAAGCATGACTGGCAAGTAATACACATTTCACTTGCTCAGGAATCAGGGAGCGGCTCGTAAACAAACAGGTTTACGAGCCACTCCCTGAGACAGAGAGACAAGCAGACGGAAAGACAGACACACACAGGCAGATAGATAAGCAGAGCTAGACAGACAGATATGATGAATGTTTCTGAAAACCGACAAGTTGAAGAATCGAGACATTTATGCAATACGTGGGAATCTTTTTTGAAGAAACGTTTCACCACACAGTGCCTTCATCAGCCCAATAGAAGGCAAGAACGTATAAGGAGAGGAGGAGTTTGAGGTAATCAGCCCCTCAGCCTGGTTATAGGACATTCTGGTAGGATGACACTATCAGTGGTGTAGATGAATGGTTCAGAGAACTGACAGGTTGATAAATTAGACATGTGCAACACTTGGATATCCTTAATGAGGAAATGTTTTGTCACACAGTGGTTTCATCAGTCCATACAAAGGAGAATGATGAAGAACAGGAGGAGTTTGAGGTAATCAGTCCCTCAGCCTTGAGTTGATGTGATCAGTCCATCAATCTTGAAAAGAATAGAGCATATGTATAATGTTTGCCAAGACCGAAGTCCTGGCATGGGTCTTAATCATGCAATGACCAGTCTCTGGCTCCCGAAGAGAAAGGGTTCTGCAATGTTGCAACATATGCTGCTCAAGCACTGTTCTGGTCAGTTCATCTGGTGCATCTCATAAGTGACAACGCCGTATGCACTCCTAATTGTGGACACTAGCGAGGAGGAGGATATGTCGTTGTCACGGGCAACAGCTTGTCTGGTTCGTTGACTACATGGTACACAAGTGCAGCCACAGTCCTCTCTGGGTTTTCTTTGGGAGGGGACATCAGTGCTAGTTGCCTGTGGAGTGTCTCAGTAGCTTGGCACTCCAGGAGATAGTGTGTTAGGGGGCACTAGACAACATGCTGGCACATCTCCTCTGCCTTGTCTACCATCATCTTGGCTGTGGGTAAAGCTCAAACGAAGTCGATGGATGGTGGTACATTGCGCCCTGGACCAGCTTCTATCATATGGAGGGAGTTCTCCCTGAGTCGCTGCTCAGTACCACTGTTGAGATGGGGTATCACCTAGGACCTCCCCCATAAGTTTCATTGCTCTGGCGGCCACCAGTTTGGTCTGGCGTAGGCTGATGGAGACAGTAATCCCAACACATGGATAATCTGTGGCTGCCTTGGCTGCATCATCCGCCACCTCATTTCCCTGGATGCCAGCATGGCTTGGGATCCAGTTCAATGTCGATTTGTTACCCTGAACTTCTAAGGCTGTCATTATGCTTAGAATCGATGTGATGAGGTGAACATTGTCCTGTGGTTGGGAAAATGAACGAATCCAGGAGTAGTCATTGAAGAGTGCTGGATCTTGTCATGGTTGCCAATATCTGTCTTCTCAGTGGGGTACCTTGCTGCCAGTGCAGAATCATGGCTACTTTGCAGGCGTTTATGTATCTTACTCTGTCAGCCAGGGAAGGAAGCTGGGCCTCAAATCTGAGACATACCGTGTTGGTCCAGATGGGGGCTCCAAGCATAGTTCTTATCGCCTGGTTTTGTACAACCTCCACCCTTTGCCTGCTCTGCAGAAAGAGATGAGCCAACGCCGGTGCACCATAGTTAATGAGCGAGTGCACAGCTTGTACATAGTACAAACAAAGTATACTTCTTTGCTCACCCCTGCACGGTGCCTCATCATGGCTCTCGTGGCACTGAGTCTGAGCAGAGCATGGGATCTGACATACTTGGCCTGTTTCTGAAAGGTCAGCTTTTTATCAATGTAGAATCCTAAGCATAGGTAGAAGCCTCTCTACTCAAGTTCTGTATCCTGAATACGTAATCTATTCACAGGATCTGGTCCCTTGAACATCACTGCAAGAGATTTCTTGGCGGAGATCTTGAGGCCTGTTCCTTGCAACACTGCGTTATTAGGTCCAAAGCTCTCTGGGCCTGTCGCTCCAAATTGCCTTTTCCATTCACTATGAGTGCAAGATCATCAGCATAGCTGAGGAGCTGCGTACCACTATGAAAGGGAAGGCTCACAAGTTCCTGCAAAAGGGTGTTAAACAAGGTAGGACTGAGCACACCTCTGGCATGCCATTTTCCAGGGTTTTAAAGGAAGAGTAGTGCTCCTGAAAGCTGACACAGGCCTGCTTGTTCCTAAGGTAGGACTCTATCCAAGCCAGGAGGCATCCTTTGATCCCTTTCCAAGCTAGTATTGCTGTGGGGCTGGCTAGCTTAAATGCCATACCTTTGAAGAGTTTTGAGAGTTTATCTACTCTCTGAGCCCAGCCATGGGCCAGGCTTGTCTGGTGCTTGCCTGATCAACCAGGCTGTTGCTGCTGGAGGCCCACTGCCTCACATATCAATCACAGCCTGGTTGATCTGGCACATGGTGAAGATACTTGTCCAGTTTCCTCTTGAAGGCTTCTACACTTGTTCCAGCAGTGTTTCTGATATCTTCTGGCAAGATGTTGAAAAGGCTGGGACCCTAGATGTTAATACAGTGTTCCCTTACTGTAACCACCACACCCCTGCTCCTCACTGGGTTTATTTTACACTTCCTCCCATATCTCTCATTCCAGTATGCTGTTATGGCAGTGTGCAGATTTGGGACCAAGCCCTCAAGTACCTTCCAGGTATATATTATGTACCTCTCTCCTCCGCTCCGATGAGTTGAGGTAGACGACCTCCAAGGTCGAGGTAGACGATGATACTAGGTTTCTTGTTACTATCGGCAATCTGGCTTAGTAGGGTGGATATGCACTCTGCTGTGCCCACTCCTTTGGTGAAGCAAAATATGTGATGATGAGTTACCCCAAGGTCCTATTGAAGCTAAAACCTTGGGTAGTTTCAAATTTAGGTTGGCTAAATACATGAGTAAGAGGGGTTGGATTTGAGTGGGACTTGCACATGAGTAAACAGAATTATTAAAGCTTATTGCTTGGGTAGCATTTATTCTGTTAGTGGACCTGCCAAGTATGGGTCAACAGGCCTGCTGCAGTGTTCTTCTTTTCTTATGTTGATGAGTGGAACAGTCTGCCTAGTATGGTTATTGAGGCTAAAACCTTGTTCCTTAATTACGTCAGGTGACATAATTATTCCCAGGTCTTTTACATGTTCCTTTCGTTCTTACTGTAACCAGCTGGCCCAGTGGCTTACGCACTGGCCTGGAGTATTACGACTCATTTGCAGCAAGTTCAAGCCCCACCCGTACAGTGGCATGTTTTCATTCATTTCCTTCATACTCCCTCCCTCGAATCTGACATCCAATCTTTTATTACCTAAATCCTTTGTCATCCTCATCACCTTACCCTTTCCTATGTTCATTTTAACTCCCACTTTGTGTTAGATTCTTTATCTTTTAATCTGGCACCTCTTGCCAACACCCGAGCATTCACTCCTCTTACAACCCCATATCTTTCTTTCTTTCAACACACCGGCCGTATTCCACAGAGGCGGGGTGGCCCAAAAGGAAAAACGAAAGTTTCTCCTTTCAAATTTAGTAATATATACAGGAGAAGGGGTTACTAGCCCCTTGCTCCCGGCATTTTAGTCGCCTCTTACAACACGCATGGCTTACGGAGGAAGAATTCTGTTCCACTTCCCCATGGAGATAGGAAATAAACAAGAACAAGAACTAGAAAGAAAATAGAAGAAAACCCAGAGGGGTATGTATATATACGCTTGTACATGTATGTGTAGTGTGACCTAAGTGTAAGTAGAAGTAGCAAGACGTACCTGAAATCTTGCATGTTCATGAGACAGAAAAAAAGGACACCAGCAATCCTACCATCATGTAAAACAATTACAGGCTTTCGTTTTACACTCGCTTGGCAGGACGGTAGTACCTCCCTGGGCCGTTGCTGTCTATCAACCTACCTAGGACAACCCCATATATAAATATATTAAACAACCATGGTTACATCACACATCCCTGTCTATGGCTAACTTTTACTGGTAAATAATCTCCCTTTCTTCTGCATACTCTAACCTGAGTCTTACTATAATCACTGCTTTCAGTAACCTACCTCCCATTCCATACATTTGCAACATCTGCCACACTGCCCTCCCCTATCCTATCTTATGCCTTTTCCAAATCCATAAATGCAACAAAAAAACTCTTTAGCCTTATCTATATACTGTTCACCTGTGTTTCATTGTAAACATTTGGTCTACCCCCTCCCATAACCCTTCCTAAAGCTTCCTTGGTCATCTGCAATCCTGCACTATGCTTTACTCTTAATTCTTTCAATAATAACTCCACCATGTATACTCAGCAGACATATTTCCCTATAACTTTTATACTTTCTTTTGTTCCCTTTGCCTGTATATAAAGGAACTATGCATGCTCTCTGTCAATCCCTAGGTACATTATCCTCTTCTATACATTTACTAAATAAAAGCACCAACCACTCCAAAACTATATCCCCACCCGCTTTTAACCCTTAAATGGTCCAAATGTATATATGCATTCTCTTCCGTAATGTCCCAAACGTATATAGGTTTCCTTTGTCATTCATTCAACAAAGGCACGATAAGTCTGAGTTGCCTAGACATAACAGAATGGGTGTGCACACTCAATGTGCGCCATATGAAAAAAATTGGGAACGCCTGGGTACCACATGTTCTTTTTTTCCCATAAAAAAAATATTTTCTCAAAAAATTTGTTTTTTTTTTTTTTACATATTTTCAAATATAACAAAAAAAAAAAAAGTAGATCAAAGTTTTTTTTACACGTTTTCAAATATAAAAAAAAGAAGATTTACTTTTTTTACATACTTTCAAATGTTGAAAAAATGTAGATCTACGTTTGGACAGTTTAAGGGTTAAGGGTTAACATTTCTGCCTTTATCCCATCAATCCTAGCTACTTTACCCCATATTATTCTACCCACTGCCTCATGAATTTTCCTACACTTATAACTGGGTCTTCCTCACTGCTACAAGATGTTATACCTCCCTGCCCAGTGCACGAAATCACAGCTTCCCTATCTTCATTAACATTAAACAGTTCCTCAAAATATTCCCTCCATCTTCCTGATACCTCTAACTCACCATCTAATAACTCTCCTCTCCTATTTTTAACTACCAAATCCATTTGTTCCCAGGCTTTCTCAGCTTATTAATCTCACTCCAAAACTTTTTCTTATTCCCAACAAAATTTGTTGATAGCATCTCACCCACTCTTTCATTTACTATACATATTACAATGTAATGCAGAAACCTGCATAACTGCTCTCCTTTTACATTCCTTCACACTCAACTTCTCTTTTTCTCTCTCCGTATACTCCTCTCTCCATTGTATCATTTCTACTTTGTATAAACCTTCATATGCTAACTTTTTCTCTTAAATACTATAGCACAAATAATATTAAAGCAAAATCATACAATAGGGATGCTGCAGTCAATTCAAGTGTTGGTGAGTATATAACTAAATTAACCCTTTCAGGGTCAAGAGGCCCTCTCCTAAACTTGTTCTCAGGGTCAAAAAAAAAAAAAAAAAAAAATATTTATGAAATGATAGAGAATCTTTTCCCAATCATAATGACACCAAAAGTATGACATTTGATGGAAAATTTATGGAATTATGCTCTCGCGAAGTTAGCAGTTTCAACGATGTTTACGCATCGGCAATTTCACCCACTTTGAGCCCTATTTTCGGCCAATTCCAGTGTACTAGTCTACAAAAGTCATAACTATTTTGCTAGAACTCCATTTTTTCTATCAAATGAGTACAAGAAACCACCCATTTACCGATTTACTATCCAATAAAGTGGTCAGAAATTGGCAAATTTGCCAATTTCACACAAATTTCAAAAGATGCCAATTTCCAAATAGGGTCCAGAATAAACAAGACAGACATTCCTGGCACTAAAATAACATTTTCTCTGTTCGTTAGTCACGTCCCCAGGCCCCTCTTACATTTCTTTTGCTTTCCAGTTCGAATTTATATTCTCACAAAAAATAGAAGATTTACTGTTATGCAGACTACTGCATTAGTGTAGAAATAGCATAAATAATATCAGCGCACGTGTGAAAGAATATTAGGCTCACCAGTTGACGTGTATTGGACGCGTGGCATGATTTGTTTACTTTTGAACTTTGGCAAAAATTGAACATTTCTGCTACTTTGAGCTCAATTTCTAGGTACTTTTCATTGTGAAACCAATCAAAATAATTTCGATTTCTGTAATATGTCTTCCACTCTATAAAATGAGACCAGGAAAACTAGAATACAACCATATATACCATACAAAAATACACTGTAAAGTCGCTGTTTTAAACCAAAAAGTCAGTTTTTTTTTTTCTCATTATGCACTGTGTGCTGCAGGATTTTTTTTTATACTGTGCACACTGACCACATAGACCCATTCTTTCATATGTAGGCCTACCAGCTTTCTCTTGCTAGATCTGAAAGTGCTAGAATTTATGCGTACTAGTACGTCAAAAACCCTGCTGCGTAAGACATACTAGTACGTCAGAAACCCTGAAAGGGTTAAACGAAACAATGATACATTTTTGCAAAGACCTAATTGGTTGCAAGAGATTCAAAAGATTACACATGAAGTCTCTCTCAATATATATGAATTTACTTACTAATAGACTTTAGGGAGAGGTAGTGGAAGGCATCATCAGGTCGAGATTTTGCTTGACTAATAGCTCTTGTGAGGTCTTCAAGCCATTTGACTTTTTCTTCTTCACTGTTAGCTGCAACCATTAAGGCTCTGTGGATTTTAAAAAATATCTTTCACTTAAAAACTTCAGTTTAAAAGTATTGCATTTTTAGGTAAGTAAATCTACTACAGTATTATGAGTCTAGCCTCCATTATTTCATTACTGTATTGTGTATTCTCAAATTACAGGGTAGGTCTAGGTGAATGCTAGTTGGGTAATTAATCATTTAACATGATCCATTTTCTCTCAGACTCCTGTTTTAAACTTGTGTTCTCACCCAAAGTGTTTTCAACCATTGATGCAGGGAGAACATATACTGTCAGGGTGTACCATACTGTATATATAGCCAAACTATACTTAGTTTATTTTATTGTTTCATTCTCATTAAAGAGATTCATTTCATTTCAGACGAGTTAAGTTACCATACCCCTTTTTTTACAGTTTATAAACATTATTAGCGTATTTCAAAAACTTGAGTAACACTTATATAAATGAAGGTTCATGAAGGACAAGGTTAACCATAAAAATGAAGGAAAAAGGTGAGTGGTGCATTCAGGTATCTGTGAAGACAAAACACGTTATCCATGGAGGCAAAGAAGGGAATGTATGAGAGCATAGTGTTACCAATATTCTTATATGGGAGTGAAGCATGGGTTGTAAATATTGTAGCAAGGAGGAGGCTGAAGCAATGGAGATATCATGTATAAGGGTAATTACAATGTAAATATTATGCAGAAAATTCATAGTGTGGAAATTAAGGAGGTGTGGAGTTACTAAAAGTATTATTCTGAGAGCTGAGGAGGGGTTGTTGAGCTGGTTTGTTCATTTAGAGAGGATGGAGCAAAATAAGATGAGTTGGAGGGTGTATAAATTTGCAGTGGAGGGGAGGAAGGGTAGGGGTCATCCTAAGAAAGGATGGAGTAAAAGAGGTTTTGTGTATAAGGGGACATGCAGCAGGCATGTGTGAGCGCATTAGATAGAAGTGAATGGAGACGAATGGTTTTTGGGACCTGACAAGCTGTTGGAGTGTGAGCAGGGTGATATTTTGTGAAGGGATTCAGGGAAACAGTTAGCCGGACTTGAGTCCTGGAGGTGGGAAGTACAATGCCTGCACTTTAAAGCAGAGGTTTGGGATATTTGCTGTTTGGAGTGACATCTGAACTGTGGTATCTGAGCACTTCTGCAAAGACAGTGATTGTGTATGAATGATGGTACCTTTGATATATACATTTGAAGAGTTTCAAGAGTTTCTCTACTCTTTGAGCCCGGCCATGGCCAGGCACGTCTGGTGTTTGCCTGGTCAACCAGGCTGTTGCTGCTGGAGGCCCATTGCCCCACATATCAGAAAGTGTTGAATGATTATTATTTTTATTATAATCAAATAAAGCACTAAACCAACAAGGGTCATGCAGTGCTGCAGGGCACAAAATAGTGCCAGGGTTATAAACAGCTAAGCGGAGAGGGGATCAGAGGTGAGGGCTGGAAGGGATGCTACAGGCTGTGTGTTAAAGTTCATATAGTAAAGCAGTTGCTGACAAAAAGTCAAAAAGTGATGGTAAGTCATATCAGAGCTGTCTGCAAGAAGGGAAGGTAAGGTAAGAGTGGTAGGGCGGCGGCGGCGTTGGAGATAAATCTTACGAGTTTGTTGGTAAACCAGATAATCCACAATAAAGTGAAGAACCAAAATAGGGACCCGACAAACCTCACAGAGAGGAATAGGGTGTCATCCCATGAGATACCCATAGGTAAGGCGAGTATGGCTGATGCAGAGATGGGAGAGTGCAGTCTCCCCAGTATGGCAACGGTGGTAAGAAGATGGCCATGAACCCAAAAGCGGTTTAATAGAGTAATTTGTTATGATGTATGTTCAACCACCGTTGTTGCCGCCATCGGCCATGAAGACGGGCAGAGATGGCAGTAAAATAATCCCTGAATGGAATACCTCTATAGGAAACCAGATCATGCCCCACTGACCACACAGCAGCGTCCGCCTGTTCATTGCCCCACACGTGTCCAGGGACCCAACAGAAAACGATGTGTTTATTTTTGCTAGCTACATGGCACAACCACAGTTGAATACAGAGGACCAATGGCCTGTAAAGCACTGAGGGAATCTGAAATGATCACAAACACCAAAGGAGACACATGTAATACAGAGAAGTGCTATGCGGATGGCATACAACTCAGCAGTAAAATACTAGCTGAATCTCGCATGACCCCAGACAACATCGTCAGGGAACACCACAGCAAACTCAACACTGTCAGAAGATTTAGAACCATCTGTATAAACAGCGACGGCATGAGCATGCAATTGGAAGTGATCAAAAAAAAGAGAGTGAGAAGCAGTCGTAGGTAGGAGAGCAAGACATAAACCATCAGAACCTCCCAAGGGGGATGGGAAAAGATAGACACTACATGAACATACAAGGAAGGTAACTGGAGAAAAGACCGGAGTGAAGACGAAGAGAAAATGGATGGAGTAAGCAGGAGTGCCAATCAAATAACAGGCTTCTTCTAATGTCTGAGACCAACTTATATGTAGAAGGAACATGAAGGTCACGAGAGCAGACAAAGTAACGAAGGCAATGAGCATCACGATGATCGGCTAAGGAAAGAACATTCACCTTAGCATAGGGGCCAACAAGGACACGAAAATGTCTTTCAGATAAGAAAGCAGCAAGAAAGGTTAGTAGATTACCGTGGAGGCCTAAGGAGTGGGTCTGGGCTAAGATGTTATACCTCCAAGTGGTGTCATATGCCTTCTCAAGATAAAAAAAAGACTGCCAGGACGGAGTGTTTATTAGCAAAGGCATTTCGCACATACATGTATAAGTGGAGCAAGGGGTCCAAAGTAGAGTGGCCCTTGCGAAAGCCATACTGGTGACGAGAAGGACTATCATGAGTCTCCAAATACCATATCAGACGTCTATTCACCAATCGTTCCATCACCTTGCAGACTACATTGGTCAGAGCAATGGGCTGATAGTGAGAGGTATCAAGCCCCAAAGTGCCTGGCTTGCAAAACGGTAGTACAATGGCAGATTTCCATTGTTGAGGGAGAACCCCTCGTGTCCAAACAAGATTGAAAAGATGCGAAAGGACTGTAAGGGGTGTAGAATGCAAATGCTGTAGCATACGGATATGAATATCATCAGGCCCAGCTGCCAATGACTGGCAAGTGGAAAGCGTAGACTCTAGCTCTAAGAGAGTAAAAGGTACTTTATATGGCTCCATCCCATTAGAAGAGAAATCCAAGGGCGATTGCTCCCTGGCAGACTTAGAAGCAAGAAACGAGGGACAGAGGTGAAGCCCTTGGGAGACACGGACAAAACAGTTCCCGATTTCCATGGCAACTTCAAGAGCTTTCAAAACATTAACACCAGCAACCCACAAAACATACTTGTGGGTTGCTGGTGAAGGTACGGAAGCTGTGTGGCAAGTATGCCACACAGATTCTGTACCTTCTTCCAAACCTCACACATAGGGGAAGTCGAGGTAACGGTAGAAATGTAGTCTTGCCAACAAGTACGTCGCGTGTGACACAGCCAGTGACTGCCCTTGCCAGCTTAAAATACAAAAGACGCTTTGCGGTCCGATTATACTGATAATGGCCCCACACAGCACGTTTCAAACGCACTGCACGGGCACATGCAGGAAACCACCAAGGCATGTTGTATGTCTGAGAATGCCTACCTGAGGTTTGAGCAATAGAACGTGATGCTGCAGTCAAAATTAAGGTTGAAAACTGGTGCACCAGCTCATCAATAGAGGACTAAGAAGGGTCCCCATAAAAAGCAGTAAGATGAGAACACAAGTTCCATTTGCTCGTCCAAATTGCCATAAGGGTTACGAGAAGGTTGGGAATACGTAGAAGAATAATGGGAAAGTGATCACTGTTATGCAAATCCAGAAGAACAGAACAAGTGTAATCAAGTGCAACTGATGAGGAGCAGATAGAAAGACCAATGCAAGAGAGAGAGACTGAGTGTGAGAGTCAAAATGGGTGGAAGCACCCATGTTTAAAACATGAAGAGGATTTGAAGTGAGAAGTCTCAATTGATCACCAAAGATGATGCTGAGCGTTAAAATCACCTACCAAGATGGGCGGCGGCAGAGAAGAGATTAAGAACACAACATTCGAGATGGGTACAGAATGCATGGGAAGGGGAAAGATATAGAGAGCAAACTGTATACCACCTGTGCAAATAAATATGGGCTGCAGTATAATGCAGTAGAGAATGAACAAAGACCTGTTGAAATAGTATACCCACACACACAAGAAGTGCACTCTCACTAAAAGTTTCATCAGGAAAGGGATCAGAAGAATGCAGCAATGCATAGCCTAAAATGGGACGAATAACAGCTGAACCCAACATATATTGGGGAAAACTGGGAGAGCAGCACCTGGAGCTCTCCTTGATTACCCCTGAGGCCATGAATATTCCATTGTAAATAGGTCATTATTCATAAAAACTGGTATTCCAACAATGAGAAGCAATACAATTTATGGGCTAGTGGGGTCAATGAAGTCAATGTGAGGAGGCAACAGAAACCATGTAAGTAGGGAGGAATCGGAATGCTGTGTAGGAAAAGACTGCTGCGAGGGGCATAAGGAGGCACACAGGTGTCCATCGAGGGTTTCGTGTCTGCAATATAGTCGGAGATTGTGTCAAGTGTTTCAGCAGACAAAGGTGATGTTGATACCATGACTTCAGAGAGAGGTGAGAGAGAGCAGGTAGAGATCGGGGAGACTATGGAGGGAACCAAAGAGGTCTGAGAGGGGAGGGGAGTATGAACCTGGAGAGATGTGCCGGCAGGGACAGAAGAGACTTGCGGTGGAACAAGAGAGGAAGGAGGCTGGGGGGAAGAACAGGAGAATAGGAGGCCACACAAGGTGGGTGAACCTCCACCTTCATGTGAGAGTTAGAAAGGGGGCGAGAACTAGGCACCAAGGCCGAAAAGGATGACTGTTGGGAATTGTAAGCACCGGAGAAATGCAAAGAGACTTCGGCTTAGGAGACAGGGTCAGCTTTGCAGGTGATAGGCACGA